GGGGGCGGGCACCGGGGGGGCTCGGGTGTCCCCATCATCCCCGGGGCTGTCACAGTGGCACAGAGCATGGGTGTCCCCATCTACCCCGGGCTGTCAGTGTGGGACAGGGCGTGGATGTCCCTCTGAGTCCCTGGGCTGCCGCATGGGGCAGGGCATGGATGTTCCCATCTATCCCAGGATGTCACCATGGGCAGGGTATGGGCGTTCCCATCATCCCCTGCATGGCACATGACATGGCTATCCCCATCATTCCCCAGGCTGTCACCATGGGACAGAGCACAGACGTCCCCATCATCCCCTGATCTGTCACCAAGCAACGGGGCATGGATGTCCCCATCATCCCCTGGGCTGTCACCATGAGACAGGGCATGGATGTCCCCCTCCTTCCTGAGGCTGTCACTGTGGGACAGGGCATGGGCATCCCAATATGTCCCCTGGCTGTCCCCTCACCTGCCCCCATGTCCCCAGGGCTGTGACCATATTGTGGGGCAAATAGCATCCCTGGACCAAGGATGTGGCACATCCCCAGGCTTGGGCAGAGCCACGGGCACCAGGCAATGGGGCAGTGCCACCCATCACCACCACCACCACACAGAGGGGGACGGGGACACGGGCAGTGCCACCCATCACCACCACCACCACCACAACGCAGAGGGGGACAGGGACACGGGATGGAGCCAGAGTCCTTTAAAAACTTGTCCTTTATTAGTCTGTTGGAAGCAAGTCCCTCTGTATAGGGCATCCCACCCAGTTATAGCAAAGTGAGTAACATGAAGGGACCGAGCCGCTCCTGCCCGTGGCCCCCCCTGGCTGGGGGGAGGGCAGGGACTGGGGGGGGGCCCAGGGCGACAGGGACATCCCCCCCCATGCAGCCCCCTGCCGCCAGGGCACCCTTTCCTCCATCCCTCCAATGTGGGGTGCCCCTCATCCTGCCCCCCTTCCCTCATGGGGTCAGCTCTGGAGCTGGGGGGGGGTGACACCCCAAGACCCCCCCCAAATCCCGCAGGGAGTGATAGCACCAAGGGGGACGGCTGCTCCCCGCAGTTTATTCCGCGCTCCCTGCGGGCTGGAGGAGCTGGTGGGGGGACAGGCGCTGCTGGAGGCGCGGGGTCCCTCCTGGGAATGTGGGACTGGGGATGGCCCCGGCATGGGGGGGATCCGGGGTTTTGGGGTGGGGAGGGGGTGTCTCAGCTTTGCTTGGGATTTACATTCTGGACCATGCAGTAGCACCAAAGTTCATGAGGTCATCAGTGACGGTGGGCGGTTACTTCCGCTTCCTCCCGCAGTACTTCCCTTGTGCGCAGCCCACGCCGCCTGTGTGTGTGGGATGCACAGGGTGAGCCCCCCCTGCACCCCTGCACCCTTGGGGGGTGCCTGGGAGAAGGGCAGGGGGTGCAGGAGCTGGCCCCAGCGGGGCAGTGGGTCACCTGGTGGCAGCGCTCACCTCTAAAGCCCAGGGCACCGAGGGCTCCTCCAAAGGTCTTAGGGGGCTTCCCTGTGGGGGGGGAGGCAGAGTGGGGTGAGCCACCGGGTCCAGGGGGTCTATGCACCCCCCACCCCAGAATTGCTCCAGTCGGGGGATGGACACTCACCACCAAATCCCAGCTGGCCAGCAACCCCACCTGAAAGCAGAGCGAAGCCCTCAGCACCCAGCAGGCACCTACATTGCTCTGCCCCGCACCCCCATCTGAGCACCCCCCCGCTCAGCCCGCTCCCCTGGGTCCCTTCCCAGCCCGTGACCATGTCCCTGTGCTCCGTGGGCTGTGCATGTCCCCATGAGCCAGCTGGGCACCGAGATGTGCCCTGGGTGTGTGCTGAGGTGCCAAGCTGGGGACAGTACCTGGAAATATCGGTGACACGCCAAAGCCAGGAACTCCAGCCCCTGGGGAAAAACCAACAGCTGCTGACAGCCTGTGACAGCAGTGCCACCCCAACCCTGCCTGGCTGGGGATGCCCTGTCTCACTGCAGGGACAGGAGCCGTTGCAAGAGCCCCCGTTCCTGCCAGCGCACCTGCCTGGCTTTGGGGTGCTCAGCAGGGGACAGCAGCAGGGTGAAGACAGCAAGCGCGGATGAGCGTGGTGGAGTAGGGGACACGCTCCCACCCCAGCCCCAAACTGCAGCACTCACCTGGCTGCAGCCCCCTACACCAAAGTCTGCGGGGTGGGAGAGCTCTGGCAAGGGCAGGGAGCATGGGGACAGCATGGGGATGGGGACCGGGGTGGGGACAGGGATGGAGGCCACCTTTGAAGCCCCCCCAGCCAGAGCAGCCCCTGTTCCTCACCTGGCTTGGGAGGTTTCCCAACAGCTCCTGGATACAAGATCCCTGTGTCAGAGAGGGGCATCAGCACAGCCCCCACCAGGGCTCGCTGCCCCCGGAGCTGCAGCCTGACCCTGCTGTGAGCCTAGAGGGTCCCCACGCAGGGACCTGCATCTCGACATGTTGGGGACATGGTACAGCACTGTCCCCTGTGCCCATGGCATGGGCAACACCGGTGCTATGGCCCTCAGTATGCTGCTCGGCAATGGCATTGGGGACAAAAACGACCCTGTGTCCCCTGCATCAGTACATCCCCTTTCCTTTTCGGCACCCTGCCAGCATGCTGCTGCCGCTCCTCTCCCTGCACCCCAGCCCTGGGGAGGCCCGATGCCAGGGGCCAGCACCACTCACCGGCACCAAGCCCACCAACTCCAAGGCCACCGACTCCAAGGCCACCGACTCCAAGGCCACCTATGACAGGGAACCCAGGTGAGTGCCAGCGGGGAGAGACAGCGGGGCAGTGTCTGACCCGCTCCTCGTCAGCCCCATGAGTGCCATCCTTCCTCGGGCAGCCCCACTTCCCCCATGCCCTGGGGAGTATCCCTCTACCCGCACCCCTCGGGGGGAGCATCCCTCTGCCCTCATCCCTCTGGGGGAGCATCTTTCCGCCCGCTGCCTGGCCCCGCTGCCAGCACCTACCTGGGACGCCGCCGACCCCTGGGACTCCAACCCCAGGAACACCTGTCGGAGAGAGACCATTAACTCCTGTCCCCCCACAGCCCAGCACCCACAGCTCAGGGCACCCCCAGCCACTTCTCAACCCGCTGGGGTGGCCCTGACACCCATTCGGGGTGTCCCCAGCACCCATCTCACAGCACCGAGAGCAAGAAGACCTGGAGGGGGCTCACCCCCTGCATGCCGCATTGCTGCAGGCAATGCAGAGCAGGAGAAAAATGTCCCCAGTGAGTCCAGAGGAGGGGGCATGGGTGGCACTTTGCACCCATGAGTGACAGCATGCCACCTCCCACACCAGGGCCACCCTCCCCTGGGACACCAGGGGTACACAGGGGACACAAAGCGAAGCCAGCACCCTGATGGCCACACAAGGAGGGTGCCCGGTGATGGTCCGAGGTGGACCTGGGGCAGGGTGGCAGAGATACGTACCGAATTTGGGAGGTTTAGCACCAGGCTGCACCCCTACTTGGGGGATGCCTGCAAAGCAATGAGGATACCGTGGTTAGGACAGTCACCCCTGCACCCCTCCTGTATGCCACCATCCCCCATCCGGCCCACATCCCTCTCTGCAACCCCTCCACGTGGCTCAGTAGCTTTTAGCATCCTTGGCCACCGCTGTCCCCAAGCAGGGCCCTGGCTGGGGTGTGATGAAGCACGTACCTGCCCCGGGGAGGATGCCGGTACCGGGTACCCCCACGCCCGGCACCAACCCGGGCACGACACCGACACCGGGCGTCACTCCTGGCACTCCGGCAACGCCGGGCACCCCGCCTGGCACCCCTCCAACACCGGCACCTGCAAAGAGAGGGTGAGGCAGCGTGGGGGTGATCCCCATGTGATCCCCCTGCTCCTGTGGGACGATGTGCCCGGCACAGGGCGCCCACCCCCGAAGCTCCCCAGCTCCCCCTGGGCCCCTCTGTGCCATGTCAGGGCTCATGGGGAGACCCCAGATGCCCACTGGGCAGGTAGGGCTGCCTGCCGTGGGCTGGCTGTGAGTGATGGGCTTCTCCAAGCTGACTCACCGAATTTGGCTGCCTTCGCTGCTGCTTTTGCTGCTGCGGCCGGAGCTCCGACCCCTAAGCAGAGACAGCAAGAGGGGGGTCAGTGTTCCCAGGGGGGGTCCTCTCCAGGAATGCTGGGCAGAGCCCATCCCTCCCACCTTGTCTGCATCCCCCAAGGGATGGCCATGAGTTGATGGAGACCACCGAGGTCCTCCTTACCCCTGTCCTGCCCCAGACCTCCCACCACACCAACCAGGCTGCCGCCACCCCCTGCCTTCCTCCTCCTCACCTGGGACACCTGCAACGCCGGGGGCCAGGCCACCCACTCCAGGAGCCAGACCACCTACACCAGGAGCAAGGCCACCCACACCGGGAGCTAGACCACCTACACCAGGAGCCAGGCCACCCACGCCAGGAACCAGGCCACCTGCTCCTGCAAGGAGAGAGGGAAAGACTGGGGCTTCAGCTCAGGAAGAGAGGTGGTGGAAGGAGCCAGCTGAAAAGACATGGGAGGCTGGGGTGGGTGGCTGGGTGGTGGGATGGATGGGTGTGGGCGGGTGGCTAAACAGTGGGGCGGGCAGGTGCTGGGGTGGATGGGTGGATGGATGGGTGGATGCAGAGTGGATAGGTGGATAGTGGGGTGGATGGATACGTAGATGGATGCAGAGTGGTTGGATGGGTGGTGGGATGGATGGATGTGGAGTGGATAGGTAGATGGTGGGGTGGATGGATGGGTGGATAGTGGGCTGGATGGATACGTGGATGGATGTGGAGTAGTTGGATGGGTGGTGGGATGCATGGATGGATGGATGGATGTGGCATAGCTGGATGGATGGATGAATGGATGGAGGCGCTGATGGACAGACAGATGTATACTGAGGTGGCTGGCTGATGGGGTGGATGGGTGGGTAGAAGGGAGGGTGGATGGACTAATGCATAAGAAGGTGTAGGGATGGTGGACCTAGGAGCCTCCATGCAGACCAGCTCTCGGGAGAGCACCCCCTGACACAGCCAGGACCTCATCCCATGCTCAGCCCCATGGAGAGCTCATCCCTTGGCCCAACCCACAGGGACCCCACGCAGTGCCGGGCCTCAGCCCTGATGAGGGGAGCAACCTGGGTGGGGAGGTGGCAGGAGACAGGATACGTGGGATAACCCCGGAGAGATCCTGGCTTACCGTACTTGGCTGCTTTGGCGGCTGCTTTGGCAGCAGCGGCGGCTGCTGGACCTCCAACTCCTGGGGGAGAGGGAGAGCATGAGGGGCAGCAATGGGCCATGGTGGACACAGAGGCACCCCTCAGCCGGCACCACTGAGGACATCCTGAGCATCCCTTAGACACCATCTCACCTGGTATGACCCCGCCAGGCACCAGACCGGGCACACCGACACCAGGCACACCAACTCCAGGCACGCCGACACCGGGCACACGCCCTGCTCCTGCAGAGAGGTTCAGGGATGTGGCCGAGCAGGCAAGCTCTGCAGGTGGGGGTCTCGCTGACCTCCCCACCATCCGCAGTGCCCGGGGTGCCCCCCACCCTGCCCGTTTGCCAGCATCCCTCCTCCCTCCCCATGAAAGGGTGACGGTGACTCACCGAATGCCGCAGCTTTCGCTGCAGCCTTTGCCGCGGCCGCCGCAGCTTCTGGGCCACCCACTGTGGGGACAGAAGGGAGTCAGGGGACCAACGAGGCCAGCACCACCCCATCAGCTTATGCCAGCCCATCCGCTCACCTCCAACACCAGGCACCACACCAGGAACCCCAGCCACACCGGGAACGCCGGGCACTCCGGGAACACCAGGGACACCGGGGACGCCGGGAACACCAGGAACACCGGGAACGACAGGAACACCAGGAACGCCGGGTACACCAGGAACGCCGCCAATGCCAGGAACACCAACACCAGCTCCTGCAGGCAACAAGAGGGGAGAAGTTAGATCTCGTTGCAGCAACAGTTGAAAGGTGGGACCTCATCATAGGTCTGCTCTCATCGTTGTGCCACAGTGAGGAGAGCACCCCACCACCTTGTCCCAGGACCCGTCTCTCCCAAGAGGCCCCGGTGATGATGGTAAATCTGCTGTTGTGAAAGAGACCTTGGGGCCACTTCTGCCTCCTCCCTGTGCCTGGGCTCCCAGCCACCCTACTGCTTGGCCATGCCCCTCGGCCCTGCTGGGCTCCTCCTTGCTGGAGCTCCCTTGGGGGTGGCTATGCCTGCTGGGCACCTGGGTCTTGCTAGACCAAGTCGGATGCACTTGCTGGATCCCATCAGGTTTTTGGGAGGTGGTCACTGAGGCTGAGAGGCTGAGCCCACGGGTACCAGACCCTGGGTCAGGTCTGCAGCTGGAAAAACGGATTTGGTACGAAACCCAAGACTTCAGACAAGGTCCAAAGATGTGAGTTCAGCCTCACCCGTTCACCTCCACAAAGCAGCCTGCACAAACCCCAGAGAGGGAGAAGGTCCTGCCCTGGGGATGAAGCCAAGCCTGGATGCAGTGGCTGGGGGCCGCGCTGGGCGCATCCCGTCCCCGGATGCTTCCCCATAGTGGCCATCAGGAGCAGTTCCCCGGGGAGACCCCCCTGCCCAGGGGCACCCGGAGTGCCACGGGTGGCGAGGGTCAGTGGGGCGCCCTGGGGAGCAGCCGGGAGCTCCTCACACCACGCAGCACGTACCGTACTTAGCTGCCTTTGCTGCTGCTGCCGCTGCCGGCGCCCCAACTCCTGGGGACAAGGGAGAGAGGGACACTCAGCCACCAGCCCCCATGCCCCCGCAGAGCTGGGCAGTAGGGACGGGGCTCCTGGGAATTGTCACCTGCAACCCCGGGGACACCTCCAACACCGGGCACCAAGCCAGGGACGCCGCCAACGCCGGGCACAAGGCCTGGGACGCCACCAACCCCGGGCAGCACCCCTGGACCTGGAGGGAAGCAGAGCAGTCAGACCCCTCCCAAAACACCCTGGTGCTGCTGGTGGGGACATGGTCTGTCCCAGTGTCACGGGAGGCTCTGGGGCACCCAGCTTTGAGGTGGGCCCTCCACACCTCCCAAACCAGCTGCTCAGGGGACCTGGGATGCACCCAAGATTGGGATTCCCAGCTCCTGACACCCAAGCCAGGGGTCTGGAGCCCACCCAGCCACCCAGGAGCTTGGGTACCCCCAAGATTCCCCAAGGCTGTGGTTGTAAATCCCAGCAGCTCCTGCAGCTCCTGCGTTTCATCTGGATGTTCCAACGAGCTGTTGTTTGCTACTCACCTTTCTCTCACCAAACAGCCCAACAAGGGGAGCAGCAAACACGAGATCTGCATCACCCTCCCCTAATAAGCAATGGCTCCTCACAGACTCTGACTCTCCGGACACCCCACTGGAGCCTGGTGTGCAAAACCGCAGCTTGTATGGAGAAACCATGCTTGATGGGGACATACTGCTCCGTGCCGGGCTGCCGCGCTGCGAGGTGGCCCTCCAGCCAGCCCTGAAAAAGCTGCTTTTTGCAAACCAGGCTTTGCTACGCCCAAGCCCGACTGTCCCAGCAGGCTGCTGGAAGCTGCCCCCAAGGGGGTAAAAGCCTCTCTGGGGGAGGTTTTGCACCTTGCTGCTTCCCACCTGGAAAAGCCGCTGGCTCAGCAGAGTGGCTGCACCTCACCCCAAGCTCCGGCAAGCTGCTGGAGCTGCTGGAGCCGGGGCAGGGGCCTGGGGCTGGGAGAGCACCCCAGGAGATGGGGCAGGGGGTGGTCCCCCGCCTGCCGGCGTGGCAGGAGAGAGTCAGGGGTGCGGGACGGGGGAAGGCCGCCCTCCCCGAGCCCCAGGGCCGAGCCCAGCTATCTCCTCACCTCCAGCTCCTGGGACAACACCGACGCCGGGTACCACTCCGCCGACTCCTGGGATGCCACCAGCTCCGGGCAGGACACCAGCTCCTGCACAGAGGAGAAGGGGACCATCAGCTGGGCAATGCAGGGGCACAGCCGGCACCCCCCCAGCCTGGGAGGGAGGGAGAGGGGCTTCCCCGCCGGGGACAGGGGCGATGATCTGCCTGCACAGGGCAACTCACCATATTTCGCTGCTGCTTTCGCTGCTGCCGCCTGTGCTCCGACTCCTGGGGAAAGACAGGGGTCGCTGCTGAGGTCCCCAGGCCATTCCCACCTCAGCTCCCCCATCCCGCAGGGACCCTGGGGACAAGCCCCCCCTGTCAGCATCTACTCCCCTCTCATTTGGGAGGTGCTGCACCCCTCCAGGCTGTCCCTGGGGTGACACTGACACCCTGGGGCCACCAGACAGCAGGGCAGTACCCAACACCCCATCCAAGGACCGGCAAAGCAACCGGGGTGCCCGGTCCCCCCACCATGGGGCTGCCTGGGAAGGGAGCGTACCTGTCCCGGTGGGGTACCCTGCCTTTCCTGCCCCGATGCCGGCTCCTATCCCACCGGGCCCGAAGCCTGCAATCACAAACAGAAAGGCAAAGCCAGGTCAGGCACTGGCCCTGGCAAGCGGGGTGAGGCAGATGGAGCCACTCCCTCAGCCCAAAAGGTCTCCCCCCACCAGCGTCGAGGGATGTTGGGGGGGGATGCCGGAGCCGGCTTCCCCCCAGGTTGGGATGCCCGTTCAAACATCCTGGCCTGGAGCTGGCTGTGTCCTAGCAGAGAGCCAGCCAGCCGGCTAGCCGGTGCCGGTGCCCGTGCCATTGGCTGCCCGCCGAC